TGTCTATTAAAATAGAATTCATTCATTCGTGGTCAGTGCAGGTCTCTTACAGCAGAGTGAGGATGGAAGCAGAGCGAATCCTGTGGCCTCCTGGAGCTTACATTCTCTTGGAGAAACCGGGCTGGACACAGGAAAGCACTTGATACGTCGTGTTGATAAGAAAAGTAGGGGAAAAGGGTGGAGTTAGGGATGTTGCTGCCACAGACGCCTGTCCCTGCTGATTAGGTGACACTTGAACAGGATTGAATTGAAGGATCAAGTCTGGTGAATATCTAGGCATGGGCCTCCCAGGTGAGGGGATAGCAAGTGCAAAGGCCCTGAGGAAGCACTTCAGGAAAAGGGTCCACAGAGCTAGCGAGGACCTTGAGGGCCCTGAAAGCACGCTAAGAAGCTTTCAAAGTGTTGTGAACGGAGTCCTGACTTTTAAAAACATTCTGACTGTTAACTGAGGGGCAGGCTCCTGGAGAGCAGAGTTGGACACAGTGGACTTGGTGGAAAGGAGCTGATTACTGTCATTGTGGAGGTGCTGAGGTCAGGCAGAGGTCACGTTCTGACCGGGGTGTGTGTGTGGCGAGGGGTGTATGCCTATTGGCACGCTCAGCGCCCTCCTCAGAGGGAGGAAGGGCTGCTGGTGGGGGAGACCGGGCTTTTGGCTGCATGAATGTGCCATTTAGCCATGACTGAGTTGGTGAAGGCTGGAGGGGGCTTGGGGCAGCCCCCGAGCTGAGTTTGGACCTGGGAGGTTCAGGATGGACACCCCTCAGTCCTAAGGGGACCTGTGGCCGTGTCTCCTTGTGCTGTGAGGGGGCCCAGCTGCTCGGGCATTTGACCCTGGAGGTTTTCCTAGTCAGAGGGAGATGCATGTATATCATTCCTGACCCGTGTCTGGGAAGGCAGGTGATAAATGTTCCCTAATACTACTTTCCTAGGGCTTTTTGGTTTGATTGCAGGCATTTTAAAACATGTACGTAAATAGGAAAATAGCAAAAATAAAGTAATAAATAAAACTAATAAAATAGGGAAATAGTAGGAAATACATTGGGTAGACAGTATAATGTATAGTAAATATAGTAATAGGTAGCAGTCATATTATGTACCATAAAATAGAGTTTCACACCTTCACGAACTCATTATAAAGCAAATCCAAGCATTGTGTCATTTCCCCCCAACATGACTTTTCTGATACAGCAGAGACTAATTCAAGGGGCCTGCTCCTTGAGCCCCAGCGACTTGAACTTGGAGCTCGGGGACGTTGACTGCAGATCTGAGGCCAGCGCATGAGTCACTGGAGAAGCGTGCAGGCCCGTGGGCAGGAGGGTGGAGCGGAAAGGGTGGAGAGGACCGTTTTCCTGGAGGCGCAGGTGAGGGGCGTGTGTTCGGGGAGCAGGCGCTGAAGAGCACCAGGCACACCTGAGAGGCAGCAGGCCCGCGTGTGGTCACCAACTCACCTGGGTGTGGAGGTGAGTGACAAGCCTGGAAGGGCAGGTGGAGACCGAGTCGTGGAGGGCTCTGAATGCCGGGGCAGGGAAGTCGAACTTTTGCTGATTTAAAAGCAGCGAGCAACACTGCAGAGTTTTGAGCTGGGCAGTGACCTGACCTCGAAGGACAGCTTTTCGAGCCAAGGGCCCGCTCTGGCAGGGACGGCGGGCGGAATCAGTGATCCCATGGCCGCCGGCAGCCAAGGCCCAGTGCACTCTGGGTTTGGAAAGAAGTGGTTAGCAAGGGGGTAGAGCACGGAGCGTTTTGCCGGCCGCTGCCTCCTGGGCAGGTTCCTCCAGAGATCGCTGCACGCCCGGCTGGAGGTGCAGAGCTGCTCTGTGAACCCTTACCCTGCTGGTTATCTGGTCAGAGAAGGTTCCAGATTCCAGGGAGTGAGAGTCTGCCAGGCTTGCCCGGCGGGGGCTTGCTGCCCGCTTTGCTGTACAATAACATCCCCGAGGGGCACGGGTGAGAGTCAGGCCTTGTCCTAGGAGCGTCTCCCACTGCCCCTGAAGGAAAGTGGCCATTCTGGGCTTCACACAGGGCACTGAGCTCCACGGGACAAATGCTCCCCAGCCGGTGGAAGGGTCAGCGTGAATAGCGCATTGAGGCTCGGTGGCTGTCTCGTAATCACTTCGGTGCCTTGGCGTCATTCTGGCTCATGAAGTGAGGTTGTCAGAACGGTACAGTTAGTGGCTTATCTGCTCCTTGAATGGCACCCTCTGTGAGGGTCTCCGTGTTTTTAAAAGGACTGCAGATCTCTTTATGTAACTGCTAACATGCTTTTAGGCTCTCCACTGGCTCAGGGTAAAAACTATGTCCCCATCCACAGTAAACAAAAACAGTGATCAGTCTCCAAAAATTCCAGGGGCATCCAGTGATGCTTTCACCTCTGCCCACCGCTAAGGCCCTGATTCACCCCCAAGCTACCTTCTCGGTCCTGGTAGGGAATGCAAGAATCCAACCGCTCTTAGCATGTTTATCTCTAGTTTTATCTGCCAACCTCCAGATTCTTCCAGGTGCTCATTGGGAAGCTATGTCCTGTTCTGTAGGTGCCTCAGGTGAGCTGCTGGCTCCCGCTGTCCCCGCCCTGGATAAAATCAGCCCTATCTGACCCCACCAACTTGCCCTACAGGACTTCGAGGGAGGTGGGGCTCATCCAGGGGCCCCCTGCCCATCGCTATGTGCACCTGCATCCCAACCCCCCTCACCGGGCCTCCACCATGTAGCTAGTCAGGCTCTCCGGACCCTCAATGTTACAGCACGGGCTCCCCCAGCCAGCCTCGGGGTCCTCAGGGCCGCACCAGCGTGGGAGCGAGTGCACCACTTTGCAGTAATGTCTCATGACGGTGCCCATTTTGGCTTTTCCTTTAAACCCTCCATGAAATAATTTCTTCTGGCTGTTAGCGGAAAATCCGCTAATATGCATTGAAAAGGAAGTGGGATGGCAGGTGCGCAACCGCTTTCTTGTTCTGGGTCTGCCTTGACGCTCGGGCAGAATGGACTGTCCTGGGAAACGCCTGGACCCCCTTTCCTAAAGCACACCGGTGCTGGGGTCCGTGTGTCCTGAACAGGAACACCAGAACGAGGAGCGTGTGTGGGTGCAGGGACGTGGGGGGGGTGCCGCAGGAAGAGCATCCTTGGGCACAAGTACGGTCCAGAGCACTTGCTCTCGTGCTCACCCAGTCCTTGGAGCAGCTCTGCACTTGGTGGGGGGCCCCTCACAGGATTTCACAGCTAACTGGCTTTACCCTCCACCCGACCCCCAGGTTCTTTGGCTGTGTCTGTCTGTCTGCTCTTTCCCCAGGAGGCACAGTCAGACTGAGAATCTTGGGTAGGAATCATCATTAAATTTGAAAGTCCACTCTGCAAACAGGTTATGGGCTCAAAACCGTCCTATAGCACTCCGCTCTGCGCTGCCTGTCCTCCCCAAGCCACACTCCCCGGACACGAGTCCCATTTCCAGCCAGTGAGACTCGTCTTTCAGATCCGAAGGATTTTCACATTCTCTCATCTCAGTGATGTAGCTTAATGTCACGGTTCCTTTTCGGAGCTGGGCTGCCCAGAGGTGGGCTTCGCTTGCATTCCGGTGCCCACCGTCTCTGGCCCGGGAACCGGTCTCTGCGTCCAGCTCCGTGCCACCTTCCCTCCAGGAGCATTCCAGTGAGGAATGTGGTGTTCTGTGGGAGAGAAGGAAAGAAATCCTCCCTGCAACCACTGCCAGCGATCATCCTGAGCCAGGACGGGGACTGCTGAGGCCCTGGCTGTGGTGGTCAAGCCTCGGGGCTCGACATTGAGCCTCTGCTCCTTGTTGCATGCACCTTACACGGATTATCATATTTATTCTTCAAGGCAATCAATCAGGACGGTGCTGTCGTCACCGCATGTGACAAGTACAGAAACTGAGGTGTAGTGGAGTTAAACATTGAACACCAGACATCCCCACGAATGGTGGCATTTGGAGGCAAGGCTGGGTGTGCCCCCTGCACGGTGGCGCTCAGCCTCGGCTGCTGCATGTGGAGCATGGGGGAAGGGCAGCCGTGGACCGACTAAGTCACCACCCAGTGCAGAAGGCGGTGTTGGGCCCTCCAGGTCCCTCTGATGAGCAAAGGTGACACACCTGGGCCAGAGGCCACCTTTCCAGCCGTCTCTCGACAGCACAGTCAAGGAACAACCCGAGACCGGGTTACGTGAGCCACGTTACAATGGCGTGAAGTTCACCTGCCCTCAGGTTGCTCTCTGCCCGTTTCCCTTGAAGGGCAAGGGGGATTCGCTCCTGCCTGCGGGCTGGTGAGGGTCTGCCCACAGCCAGTCATGTCACCATCTCCAGAGCCCCCCTCTATGCCCCTTCCAGAAAGAAACAGGCCTTGGAGAAATGATTCATGTACTCCGTCCACAGAACCTTCCTCCTCCATGGCTGCACCTGCGCATAGTACCCAGGGATGACCTAGAGGCAGAAAGGGCAGCGTGTTTACTTTCCTTAGGCTTGTTGTTTGTTAGGTCTCCAGGGAGGATTTCAGGGGAGTGTGGGCAGGGAGCAGTCCCCTCTGACCCCGCCGAGGCTGGGCCGCAAGAGGCTCAGGGCTGAGCGCCCCTCTTCCAGGTGTGGGAGCCACAGCTGGGGCTATACCTGTAATGGGACCAGCAGACAGATTTAGTTCTTCTTTCCCGAACCCTGAAACTGTACGGATCCTGTTTGTTCTCCTTTTTCACTGTGATAAGCAGACTGGCCAGGTGCTGGTACAAGGTTCCCAAGCCCCATGGTGCCCCAGGGAGGAGGGGTGCAGACAGCAGGTCAGGAAAAGCAGCCTGGCTCTGTGCACCAGCAGAACTGATGGGATGAGCGTGAGGTGCATCGAGACTCCGGGGAGCGAGCCCTACTCTGCTCTCCTGGGCCAGGATAAGTGTCTTAATTGGAACAGCCTCTGGAAGAAAGAGGAGTCCCACTTCCTATAAAATTACTGTTCAACCCATGTTTCACTTGCTCATGGGAAATTCTCATTTTCTTCCCCCGCTTTCAGGAAGAAGCACATCGCCAAGTTGACCCCATCGTGCAGCATGGTTGCCTGAGAAGAGCTTCAGCAAGCACTGGGATACCTGGAGGAAGAGAGATGAAACCTTAGCCATCCTCCCAGGAAGAGAGTTCAAGATGGCAGCTCAACGGATCCGAGCTGCCAACTCCAGTGGCCTCCCTCGGTGCAAGTCCGAGGGGACCCTGATTGACCTGAGCGAAGGGTTTTCAGAAGCGAGCTTTAATGATGTCAAAGGTGAGCTCGCGGGGCGCCTGGGTGGCTCAGTCTTTAAGCGTCTGCCTTCGGCTCAGGTCATGATCCCAGGGTCCTGGGATCGAGCCCTGTATTGGGCTTCCTGCTCAGTGGGGAGCTGCTTCTCCGTCTCCTTCTGCTGCTCCCCCTGCTTGTGCACACGCACTCTCTCACGCTCTCTCTCTCTCTCTAATAAATAAAATCTTTAAAAAAAAAGTGAACTTGCAGGGACAGAACTGTGGCTGGGGGGCGGGGGGGTGGCCTGCGGCAGATCGGGACTTGCAAGTGCTCTGAGACCGAAGGGCTTCTCCACCTTAAAGGCTGCCAAGTTCCCAGTTAAACTTCAGCTCTCTAAACATCATTGACCATAAATCCAGCCCTAGAACAATAACCACTTGTCTTGTTTTGTTTTTTTGGTGTGTTGGGATCTTTTGAATATTCCCCTTGGTAATGCACCTTCATACAGAATGTGTTTGTGTTTTCTCTTTTTGAGAGTTTTGGTGACACTAAAGTAGGGAGCTGGGTGCTCAGGATACTAGGGGGAGGGAGAGAGTGTGGTCAGCCAATGAAATATTGAGAACCGCTAGAGAGGAAGAGGTGGTCTGAGAGTGGGGTCAGCAAGCTTCTCCTGTAAAGGGTCACCCAGGAAATATTGTAATTCTTGCAGGCCCTGAGGGTTCCATCACAGCCATTCCTCTGTGCTGGTGCAGCTCGAGAGCAGTCAGAGAAGACAGTAAGCAGTGGACACGGCTGTGTTCCAATAAAACTTTATTTACAAAAACAGCAAAGGGGCCATTGTTTGCCGACCCCTGCTTTAGAGGTGGCCCTGGGGTGAATCACCCTGAGCCCCTGGTTTTCTGTAACAGCCACATACAGCTAGGTCAGTGAGATGGGTGACGGGTACCGGTGGGTCATTTTCTTCCTAGAAGTCCCCTCTGACCTTAGTAGGTGCTTACTGGTGCCCCGTGATTGATGTAGCAGCAGCATCCGGCAGCTTCCCTATGGCGTTTACTGCAATGTGTTGAAGTTAACCGCTGGGTCATCCAGAGTACAAGCTGAGCAGTGGGAACTGCTCTTGACCTTTGTATCTTGAGCCCCTGGCACGACGTCAGTGCTGAATTAATAGTCCTTGAACCAAACTGCTGTCTCCCAGGTAACATTGTGGCCCTCTTCCCCGTTGTCCTAAAAACCATATGCACCCCGTTTGTCTCTTCCGAATCTCTTCTCCCGTCACTGTATCCTAACTTCTTCCTTTTCCTGTCTGTGCTTTATGCTTGGAGCCCTGAGCATTGCGTTAAATGTTCTTCACACGAACGGACTTGGCAAAGGAGGTCATGAGATTTTACTAATAAGAGCAGCAGAGTTACCAGGTATTGCCATAAATAATGGGATCCTTCGTTTTTCACAGTCCGGTAATGGGCATCGTTTTCTCACTTTATAGCCCAGCTAATTATGGTTAAAGCTGGAAAATGGGAGCATCATTTATGGGATTCAGGCTGCGGTCTTTTTAAGTAATGATGATGATCTGAGAGGTGTTAGGGTACTAACAGAACACCACAGTTTCCCACAGTTGTGGGAAAAAGACAAATGAGATCACCTGGGATGCGAGCTGGGGCTGATTAGCCGAGGGCGCGATGCCCACGGAGCCCCTGGACCCATTCGCCAAGGCAGCTCTCCAGCCAGGCAGCTGCATGCATGACCTGATGGTCAAAAGGCTTTAAGGTGGGGATTTACTCCAGCCAAAACATCGGCTGCAAAGTCCTCCACCCCCCCCTCATTAGCGTTCCACCTGCAGCAGAACTGAGGCAAAGGGGTAAAATTGTATTACTCAGTGCACTCAACTTCCTGACACGCAGGGATTTTCTTTGTATTAAAATCCAGGATAGCTGTAAATCTGGGCAGCACTCCCCGGAATTCATTAAGATGGGATTTGATAAGGATCCTCCTGCATTTGATTGGATGGCTGCCCTGCCTGGTGTCCCCGGGTGCCCAGTGACAGGTGACTGATGGAGGGACCCATCTGGAAGGAGCTCACACTAGAGTCCTCTTCCATGGGGTGGCCCGGCAGGGAGGAGCGCCATTTCCCATTGGATGAGCCTGATCCTTGAGTGAAATGAGTTAACTGCTTCTCTGCTAAGGAGAGTGCTTAGAATTTTAAGTGAAACCATTTTTATTCTTTAGTCTGGTGAAACTAAAGTGGTAATTTGCATTGATACATTTTCGTGGGCTATATACAAAGCCTGCTTAATAGCTTTGGGTTTTTAATTTTAAAAATATCACTCTAAGGGAATTGTTCCGGGGAACATAATAGGGATATAACTTCTGAGGGATTCTAACAAGATTTTAATAGCTGGCAAGCTCTCTGATTTTCATTTGGTTTTAATTTTTATGTGACATTATCATTAGATGTGTCAAAGAAACAAAAAGTGGTTTATATTACTGGAGACAGTGCCTGGAAAACAAAGCGAGAAAGATCTTGTTGTCCCCTGACCCCAGCCTGACCCATCCCCCTTCCCCCCCCCACCTCTCCCTCAAAAGCATTCTCTTTTTCTTGGATGTTTTATTCACTCCCCTCCCTTAACTGTAAATGATTTCTCTTTGGGGCATAGCCAGGGAGAACACCTTGATCCCATAACATGGATATGGCCTCTCTGTCATGAACGAACATTTATTCCAAGAATATTTGTTGAACACCTGCTATGTGACAGGCTGTCTTCCAGGATTACCACTGTGAGCAAAACAGACATATGAATATCGGTTAATGATAAGTGCCATGGAGAAAATAAAATTAGGAGGGGGGTGGAGATGTCCACTTTAACATAACCCTCTGTGAGTCCTTACCTGGGGCTCAGCATCATTATGCTAAGGACACGATCAGAACCTTATCTTCAGCAGAGCCCGCTGAGGAAAGAGTCTCAGGCTCCTGAGGCCACATGGCTTCTAAAGGCCTGGATCACAGCCCAGGCCCAGTGAACCCAGGGCCAGATTCCACCCCCCAACACCCCACACAGAAGGTGGGAGGTGACAGCCTTCACAGCCCAGGTGGGCTTTCCGCCAAGCATATCCCTCTAACCTGGTTCATGGAAATAAAGAGAAACTTCCTGCTTTATTTTCCAAGACTACGCTAAGGAACTATAATTCAATTTGCATTATTTCTTTTCAAAGGAAAAAGAAACTGGCAGATGGTGTTTTTGGAGGGCCAGTTTGATAGAACAGAATGCATATTGACTTAATCACGTATTAGAGACGAAGTGGGGGTAGTCCCACTAAAAACACGGTCCTTTCTTACAGTTGTTAGTTACAGGACCCCAGAATAGTCACAAATTCTGTGAAACAAGGCACAGTTGGGGTGGGGGCTTATTCTTCTCTGAAGGAAATTTCTTCTTCCTCTGGATATACTTTGTCGTGTATGAGAGGGAGAAAAAACACTTAGGTATTTAATTATCCGTTACTTTTCAAAACACACACCCCCTGGTTGAGATGACTAACTTTGGCCTCTCTGACTGCTGTCTACATGGGTAACATAGCTGAACACCACGAACCATAAATTAGCTCGAGTCACTGTTTACAGTGTTGGGGTTTTTCAGACTTGAACGTTGGCTCAGAAATAACATGAATGACACCAGACGTAAAACAGTTGCTTTTCAAGGTACGCGGGGGAGGTGGTTTCCAAGTCGTCATCCTGAGTGATCATATAAAGGAGGCTGGAAGAGGCTAGCCTCAAAAGGCTTATTTTGGTGAAGACTGGGTTCAGCTTGTCAAGGGAACCTTCCCCCACCCCGTTCGCATGTTCTGTGTTGAGGGCAGAGCGTGGCACGAGCTCGGAAACACTGAGAGCTGCTTTGGAAGCTCTTCATTGCCCATGCCCGGCTACAGGCAGTGGGTCACACTGCTCAGAACATCACTGTGGCTGAGTCGGTCACACTCAGCTTGTCTCTCTACCCGGCAGCAGCTCTGGGAAGTTAGGTACAGTAAAGAGAGGGCCAGTCAAAATGAGATGGTATTTGGGGCGCCTGGCTGGCTCAGTCAGTGGACCTTGAGACTCTCGATCTCAAGTTTGGGAGTTAGAGCCCCACGTTGGGTGTAGAGATGACTTAAAAATAAGTTCTTTAAAAATGGAAAAATTTTAAAAATGAGATGGCATCTCTGTGATCCCGGGGAAACAGGGTCCGATGAACTCCCCCGCTGTGCTAAGTTAGAGGACTGCCGTGCTGGCCCTGCTGAGCGAAGCCGGAGTTCGCTTTGGCCGGTTTCTGCTAATTGCCTGGTGCCCTGTGCACCTCTCGAAGAGCGCCCTCCTCCCTCGCTCTGCTCAGTGCTCTGCACGCCCATGGGCCTCGCCCTCACCACCTGTCTCTTTGTGTTTTGTGCAGTGCCTTCTCCCAGTGCCTTGCTAGTAGACAATCCCACACCTTTTGGAAATGCAAAGGAAGTGATCGCAATCAAGGACTACTGCCCTACCAACTTCACCACCCTGAAGTTCTCCAAGGGGGACCACCTCTACGTCCTGGACACGTCCGGCGGGGAGTGGTGGTACGCGCACAACACCACGGAGATGGGCTACATCCCCTCCTCCTACGTGCAGCCCTTAAACTACCGGAACTCCACTCTGAGCGACAGCGGGGTGATTGACAATCTTCCAGACAGCCCAGACGAGGTGGCCAAGGAGTTAGACCTGCTCGGGGGGTGGGCGGATGACAAAGGATGCAGCAAAACCTACAGCAATAACCCTTTCTGGAACGGGGCCCAGACAAACCCATTTCTGAATGGGAACGTGCCGGTGGCACCCAGCGTGGACGAGCTGACTCCCAAAAGTACTGTGGATCTGCTCCTTTTTGATACAGGCGCGTCTTCTTTCACGGAGTCCAGCTCCGCCACCACGAACAGCACCGGCAACATCTTCGACGAGATGCCGGCCGCGAGCCACCTCCAGGCAGAGGCACCGGGCAAGCGGGACAACCCATTCTTCAGGAGCAAGCGCTCCTACAGCCTGTCGGAGCTGTCGGTCCTCCAGGCCAAGTCAGACGCTCCTGACTCATCGGGGTTCTTCACAGGCTTGAAATCCCCGGCCCCGGAGCAGTTCCAGAGCCGGGAGGACTTCCGCGCCGCCTGGCTGAGCCACCGGAAGCTGGCCCGCTCTTGCCACGATCTGGACTTGCTGGGCCAGAGCCCCGGCTGGGGCCAGACCCAGGCGGTGGAGACAAGCATTGCATGCAAGCTGGACAGTTCCGGGGGCTCTGTGCAGCTGCCTGATACCAACATCAGCATCCACGTGCCTGAAGGCCACGTGGCCCCTGGCGAGACGCAGCAGATCTCGATGAAAGCGCTGCTGGACCCCCCGCTGGAGCTCAACAGTGACCGGTGCAGCAGCGTCAGCCCGGTGCTGGAGGTGAAGCTGAGCACGCTGGAGGTGAAAACCTACATCATCTTGGAGATGAAAGTGTCAGCCGAGGTGAAAAATGACATTTTTAGCAAAAGCACAGTGGGCCTCCAGTGCCTGAGGAGCGACTTGAAGGAAGGGCCCTATGTCCCCATCCCGCTCACCTACAGCTATGGGGACACAGTCCAGGTACAGCTAGACAACCTGGAGCCCTGTATGTACCTGGCCATCGTTGCCCATGGCCCGAACATTCTCTACCCTTCCACGGTGTGGGACTTCATCAATAAAAAGATCACCGTGGGGCTCTACGGCCCCAAACACATTCACCCGTCCTTCAAGACCGTGGTGACCGTTTTTGGGCATGATTGCGCCCCAAAGACACTGCTGGTCAGCGAGGTCACCCGCCAGGCCCCCAGCCCCGCCCCAGTGGCCCTGCAGCTCTGGGGTAAGCACCAGTTCGTCCTGTCCAGGCCCCAGGACCTCCACGTCTGCATGTTTTCCAACATGACCAACTACGAGGTCAGAGGCAATGAGCAGGCCAAAGTGGTGAGGGGGTTCCAGATGAAGCTGGGCAAGGTGAGCCGCCTCATCTTCCCCATCACCTGCCAGAACCCCAGCGAGCTGTCTGACTTCACCCTGCGGGTTCAGGTGAGAGGCGACCAGGAGGCCATCCTGACTCAGTTCTGTGTCCAGACTCCCCAGCCACCCCCTAAAAGTACCATCAAGCCTTCCGGGCAAAGACGGTTCCTCAAGAAGAACGAGGTCGGGAAGATCATTTTGTCCCCGTTTGCTGCCACCACCAAGTACCCGACTTTTCAGGACCGCCCGGTGGCCAGCCTCAAGTTCGGCAAATTGCTCAAGACCGTGGTGCGGCAGAGCAAGAACCACTACCTGCTGGAGTACAAGAAGGGCGACACGATCGCTCTGCTCAGCGAGGAGAAGATCCGGCTCAAGGGGCAGCTATGGACCAAGGAGTGGTACATCGGCTACCACCAGGGCAAGGTCGGCCTCGTGCACGCCAAGAACGTGCTGGTGGTGGGCAAGGCCAGGCCGAGCCTCCTCTCGGGGCCCGAGCTGAGCACATCGGTGCTGCTCGAGCAGATCCTGCGGCCGTGTAAGTTCCTCACCTACATCTACGCCTCTGTCAGGACCCTGCTCATGGAGAACATCGGCAGCTGGCGCTCCTTCGCCGACGCCCTGGGCTACGGGAATCTGCCGCTCACCTTTTTCTGCCGGGCAGAGCTGGACAGCGAGCCCGAGCGGGTGGCCTCTGTCCTGGAGAAGCTGAAGGAGGATTGTAACAACACGGAGAACAAAGACCGAAAATCCTTCCAGAAGGAGCTCATGATGGTAAGTGCTCAGCAGGGGCCTGGAGCCAAGTCCAGTCTCACTGCCTCTCCCTGCACACTCGGGCGTGTGTCTGGTGAATCACCAGACCGGTGTCCGGGCACATCTTCGCTCCCTGAAATGCACAGGGTGTAAGCGTGCCCGTGCACCCGGGCGTTTGTGTGGGGCCTGTCGGGAGCCCCAAGCAGCTCATGATCCACCACGGAGAGCGCCGTTCGCATGGCTTCCTGCTGGGTTCTCGAGCTCCTCGGAGGTCTCCGATGGATCCCTGAGTGCCCGGTGGGGGTGGGGGGCACAGCGAGACTTGCACTCCAGTCGCTTCTGTTTTGATCTCTTGGGAGAAGTTCCATGTTTCATCAGATTCCCACCAGGATCTAGGACTCTGACGTTTTTCAGAACTGCCACCCCAGAGTCTAGCTTTACCTTGATACGAGTTTTCCTCTCCTCGAGGCCTCCGTGTTTCTTCCTCTGCCTCCTTTTTGTGTGTGTGAGTAGGGGTTGAGGACAGTCTCTGTTTCTCCAGCACAACTGGGAATTGCGACCCTGAAAGGCAGAAAGGGGGAGGTCGGTGTCACACTACAGGATATGCCCGGGCCACTAGCCAACAGGGAAAGCATTTTCTGGACCCCGAATGGCCTCCCACGGCCTGGGCTCTGCCACCCTCTCCCAACTGTTCGTGTGCTTCCGGTGGCCTGTCTTGGAGTAGCTGACTTGGAGAAACTTGATAATGTTCTTCCCTTGGCGTCCTGCTTTGCCTCTGGTGGATGTCCCGTCTATGGCAGAATCCACCTCTGTTCCCTTCCCCATCTTCCCGATAGGGACACGTCACTGGGCTTCTTCCTACGGAAACCCTTGTGATTTGGTCATAGGCATTCCTTCCTTGCTCCACCAGGCTCCACACAGCCTTTTTGCCTCCTGACTTTTGTAAGAGGTGAGCCTCGGCACCCCCAGGATTTCTGCCACTTGTACTATTCCCTCTTCTACCCGGCACCCGCCATGTGGGGAGAGCGCCTCTAGGACCGGATGAGCCAAGTATGCGCGTGCCTGCGCATGCACGTGTTGACATGGGCGTGCAGCTGAGGTCCATCCGTGGCACACGCAGCTCTCAACTGCCCTGGGAGCCGGGAGCCAGAAGGGATGCAGTCCACTGCAGGGAGAAGGCACTGCAGCCTGCTAGTGGTTCCCGGGAATACAAAATGCCAGGTGCATGCAGCAGAATGAGGCCCGATGTTGCCCAGGAGAAGGAGGTGGGAACTGGAAGTGGCAAGTAGAGGGGCGATCTTGGCAACGGTGGGGGGGGGGCGCCTGGTGATGGCAGCATCAGTGGGGAGGACGCTGGATTGTCATGGCTGGGGAGGGGCAGAGGTAGCAGGGGAGCATCCCCGCCCTCTCCCTGCAGGTTGCCCCTCCCCTCGCTGGCCCTGCGGCTACGGATGCACCACCGCCTGAGCTGTGACAAGCCCGCAAGACCCAGTGTCCCCTCGGATGGACCCAGCGCAGTGGGCCAGGGCACAGGTCCCTCTCCAGGGCCTCAAGCTGGGATTCGCTGTGGATTATAGAATCGGGTGCTTTCATGGAACATAAACAGTATTGATGGTTCCTTCATTACAGCCTAAGAAACCCTCACCTCCAGTGGGTAGAGGAGAGAAATGGGACAGTGGGAGCAGCCCTTCCCCGCTATGGAAGAGTGATGACTAAGGAGGCCGTTTGCTTACCCACGTTCCCTCACTTCCTTCCAGGTCTTTCCAGACTGAAATGGTGACTCTCTCTTCCACGTGGGGGGCTTCTCTGACAGCACATGTTTTGGGGGCCATCCCTGGCTTCCTTTCATGAGGGATGGGGGTCTCTCCGGCCCCAGCCAGGTCTGGTTCGGAGGTTTGCAGTGTTTCGCTCGGTTCCTGGACTAAATCCGTCACCATCCTGAGAGTGGGCAGATTAGAATGTTGGCTAAATCTCTAGAAACCACAGGCTAATTTGTCCCCGCGTGTTTCAGGGGTCGCTGGAAGCCGGGTTTCATTTCTCCCCATGCTCAAATCTCCGAGCGGTGGCTTCCCACAGCCTCGGTGGGCCCGCCAGCCCTGCAGCCATCCCAGGCCCTTGCGCGATGATGACCGTTTTCTGATCAGATGGGACTCCCTGGTCTGGAAACCGTGAACGCACTTGAAGGGGTAAAGTTTTAGGACAGTGGGTTTGCAGGGAGATGGGAAGGGAGAACAGAGTCGTTCAGTCCTCCCGTCGGAGTGGGGTCAGGCCTGTGCCCACGCTGCTCCCTCAGCCCGGAACTCTGCCCCGTGGACTCGGGAGGGAGGCTCTTCCTGCCCCTCGGTGCCAGCCCACAGGTCGTGCCCTCAGACCTTTCCCACAGCCTGGTGCTCGGGGTCACTGCCCTTCATCGGCCCAGATCGCTGTCTGCGTGGTGCTTTCCCCAACCCCAGATGGCCTTGGGGCCTGGCGTTTGTGTTTCCTGCTCTTGTCCTCATCGGATTTAAACGTCGCAGGAGAAAGGAGCGGGCAACACTGACGTCAGAGGAATGAAAGCAAGCACGAGGCCCGAGAATCTGAGCCGCATGCCGCGTCCCGCGGGCAGACCGTGCCGCATCCTGTGGTCAGACCATGCTTCTGCTCTGGGTCTCCATTTCCATCCCCTTCTTCCATCGTTGCTTCGAGGGGCATCTTGAACACGGACGTGGGCTTCCTGGCGTGCCCCTGCCTGCCCTTTCCCACCCAGACTGTGTGCGACCACCGTCCGAGAATGCCCCTCCTGCCCCCGGCTTGCCTAGCCCTGCGGTGGAAGCCGCGACCGTCCCTGGCAGAGGACGGCCAGCCCGCCGACCGCGCCCCCCAGGCCGGATTGAACGCAGCAGGGAGGGGAGAGGCGATGCGGGACTGCTACAGGGAGTGGGCGTGACTGGCACTGACCGAGGCAAGTAGCCAGGGTGGACGGAGCCCCCGGCGACCTCTGCCAGTAGGACTTGCGGGCGGGCCCGGGAGATGTCAGGATGCGCACTCAAGGATTACTGAGTGGAAGGTACGGGACCGAAGCTTCTGACGCAGAGCAGGGAAGAGCGGCCACGGACCCCCGGAGCGAGCGTTTGTACTCGAAGTTCACTCGCCATTTCTGAGCTGCCTACCATGTGCTCGGGGGCGATGCCAGCTGCTGGGCTCCCAAAAACGCGGGCCCTTGACTTGAGCAAGGCATGGAGTGAACACGAGTGCAGGACACACTTGCTGTGAGCCCCAAAGAGAAGGGCCCCCGGGTAGACCGGGGAAAGGCGAGCAGGCCTGGGGGTGGGGGCTGGTACTGATGAGGGAAGGAAGTGCAGGCGCCCACTTGATGGGGGCGGGGGGCTGTCAGGTGGGACCCTCAGCATGGGCAAGGGCCAGGGTTCGGAAGAGCCGAGATGGGGGCAGACCAGAGGCTGCGGTGACCCAAGAAGTTGGTACGTGTGGGGCCACCTGGCCCCGATAACACCTGTGCTTTGATCTGTAGGCACGGAGAGGTACAGCGTTTTAGGGGAATCAAAGGGGAGCCAAGCTGGATCCAGGTGTGTCCCTGACCCTTGTCATGCCTCACAGTCCCTGAGCCCCTCAAAAGCTGCCGTCAGTGGGGTACCCCACTCCGAATGTCATTCCTGCGGAACATCAGGAGGACGGCTGGGGGTGGAGGACCTAACTTTCTAGATACTCATTTCTAGATATACTCAGTGAAGGAAACGAACTGGCAGCTGCGTTTTATCAGAGGTGAGCAGTGCGGCCAAATCCGAGGACTGCCAGGGGGGATACCCTTCCAGGTTTGCAAAGATCCCCTTGGCCACTTAGCCTCCATCTGAATCTCATACTTGGCAGCCACGCAAAAGGGCACCTTCTGCAGCCGGGACTTTTGTTCGTGGCTGCCACGTGCTCTTCTCCCGCTCCCCTGGCAGGTCAGCGTCAGGTGGCTGGCTGGTCCCGGGGCCTGCGGCCACTCTCACCGAGTCACGGGTGACAGGCTCTGTTCTCTTGCCGCGTGCACAGTGGGGTGGATCTTCACAGCTTTGGGGGCTTGCGTTTGCACAGCTGTCTTGGCTCATCCCAGGTTTTGTTGGGTCCTGAATGGAAAATGGTTTTGTCACTGGGGAGTGCACAGCAGGGAGTGACAGGAAGCGAGTGCAGGTGCTGTTACTGTGGCGACGGACTCCCGGGAGACCCCTCCTCCCTTTTGCCAACCTTGGGTCCCCCGTTGGGCCTCTTGTTTTCTTCACGAAGGGGAGAAACCAGAGCCTGCTCTTCGCTCTTGGCACGGTGAAGTTCTTTCCTGAGTCTTCCGGTGCACGTGATGGCAAACACGAGCTTGTGTGTATTTGTCCCGGGAACTATGACAACACTGAAGGAGAGGGCTTGGCTCAAGCTGGAGACGGGAGTAGATCTGGGTGGCCACCCCCCGGGAGTGTGTGCGTGGAGGGTGGCGGACGGAACCCCGAGGGACCCGTTTGTCTAACAGCAGGAGGTATCTTGGTTCAGCCACGTGCTTCCCCAACGAGAGGTTATTCCTGATAGCTGGGATTCCCTCAGGCACAAGACACAGGGTCCCTCCTCATGGTGGGGAGGGACGGGGGGTCAGCTGGGGTGGGGAGGGAACCGTCAGGGGCGTGGGCAGGCCTCCCCGAAGGGGCCAAGGCCGGCGCTCAGAGCATGGCAACCAGGGGTCATTTGAGTCCAGGGCAGGCTTTTTGGAGAAGGTTCTCTGAGAAAGAGAAGGTTACTCTAGGATACAAATCAAGGGAAGGGCAGCTGTTTGCAGGAGTGGAATAAACCCCAAGCTGATGGAAATGAGGGGCGAACTGGGAGGTTCCAGTGGGGGGTGGTTGGAGAGGACCGTGTGGAGTGATTCTCTGAGAGTCGGGAGAAAAGCCTCCTTATCCCCGCCCCCCCCCCCAGAGAGGGGGCAGTTAGCTAAGCATTGCACATTTGGGCAGTTCCTGGGGTTCCTGCCGGGCGGCCCCAAAGCAGGAGGCTCTGCTACCCTCAGCTCATACGGGGGAGGATGGCTCTTCTGATGTTTGCACATCTTGGGAATAGAAGCATGGGTGGGATTAACATACTGCAAAACCCAAATGATACCTCATTGTCTTTTAATAAGAATATCTCCTAAAACAGGGCTTGGCGGACTGGCTTCGGGGCCGCCTGCTTTTGTAAGTGAAGTCACACCGGGCTGAGCCCGTGCCCGTTGCTTCATAGGCCGTCGGTGCTGTTTCACCCCACACCGGCCGATTCGGGGGCTTGCGACAGAGACCGCGGGGCCCACGGAGCCAAAACCTCTCCCCTGTCTAGCCATGTCGAACAGGTTTGGTCACCTGGCTGAAATTCCCATTCCCTCTGTGGGATTGCTGCCAGGGTCAGCCTCGTTTCAAATGGGATTTTCTGGGATTACCTGTGGGTGTTAGTGTGTGTGTGAAAATTAAAGAGGAAGCTACAGGGAAGGGAGCCGGAACCTCCTGCTGGAAGCTATCTACTGCTAGGACCCGCTGGCACCCAAAATGTGCCCTTAAAAAAATGCCTAAATACCCCTTGGGTGGTGTGGCCGCTCTGTGACCATTGAAACCCGTACTGGCTGATCCAAGTGTGAGCAGAGCTGATGTCAGTAAATGAAGGCGCCCCCGTCCCAGTGTTCACCATGCTTCTTGTGATGGAGCCCCGGTCCTTGCCCAGTGCCCCTGGGGACAGAGCCACTGTCATCGCTCCTGCCAGGGGTGACCCCAATCAGAAGCGTGATTCTGGAGCGTTCTGTTGCCTAGAAAAGGAGACCGCCTCTGGAGCATTCTCTTTGTGTGCGCTGGGAAGCCGTGGGCGAAAGCTGAGCGGGGACACAGAGGGACTGACCGTCCACCCTGAGGAGCTGGGGACTCCACCAGCCGCAGTGCGTTCGGGACTTCAGCCCCACCACACCGCAAAAATTTAAATCCAGAATTCAACCAATGGATCACATGTCCCTCTGCCATACGTGGGGACGTAGGTGTATTTATATCTTCTGAAAGACGGATCTACTAAACATTGATTTTTTTTTTAAGCAATTTCACTTGAATACATCAAAATTCAAGTGAAAACAGACCCTTTTCTGAAATACATAGAGTTGAAATGTCATGTAATCCAGATCCGTGTTTTGTTTGGTCCCATCCCTGATGTCGAGGAGTGAGTGCCTGCAGAAATTTTGCAAAGGCTTGCCTGCACCTCTGTCATCTTGAGGGATCCTGGACAGGCCGCCTGCAGGTGTAGGAACTTCTCCATCACTCTCTCGGCTTAATCTGCAAACTGGGGTGAGCTCGGCGCCTTCCTCATGGGGGTTCTGAGGAGTGGACGAGCCCATGCCCGGCTCACAGTAAGTGCTCAGTCGTAGTAGCTTATTCCAGAACAAAACAAACCAGAACAGGAACACGGGATCCTCAAGCTCCCTTCCGGCTAACCGTAGTTCCAGCTAGCTGCCAACCCTCGGACCTGGGACAGAACCAGATTGACCCATCACCCCTGTTGCAAATTGCAGAAATTGACCTGCTGGGACATCCAGCTAATACATTCAGCAAAGTGCCAAAAAAGTCACCATTCCTCCGTCTTGTTAAGTTCCCCCAATATAAACATGGACTGTAGATGAGGATACTCAGTCTCAGTAAGGGACCCAGCAGACTGTAACTGCACGGAGCCAAGGCCACCCGCCATCTTCACGGAATAGTGGACAGAGTTCTCACAAGGAGCTGCGTGTTTGGCTCAGTCAGGAAGGGGCTGGTGGGGTGGGTTTTTTTAGCACGTGCTCTTGGAGTCTTGGAGTGACAACAGCAGGTGCTCGGATAGAGCTTAGAAAGACAAAAAGAACACCAGGTGATTTTTTTCTGCTTCTAGCCTCTTCGGTCTTAGGCTCACCTGTCCGAGGGCCTGAGAAACCAACTCCAGGGTGCCTCTGAGGCCCACTTGTCCCACTGTTGGGGTACAGTCTGAGACAGCTGGGCGGCAGAGCCTTCGTGGATGGTGCCAGGCCCACGTGCACCCAGCAGGGATCACGAAAGTTGGGTGGCAAGCCTTTTGCATCTCACGGTGGGCAGACCTGGGGGCCTGCTGGTTTGTGCTAGCTGGTGTGATTTTGTTTCTTTAAGACCCCAGCCCAGGGTCTTACAGAATACATTGGACTGTTGAGCTTTATGTTGGAAGCCTGCGTGATCTGGCCCCTTTCCTGGGAGGGAAGCAAGTCCCAAGGTGGCCACCTGCTGGCTCGGGGCCAGGTGGGCATTTGGGCCGGGCTCGGTACCCTTGCCTCCTTCCTTCCCAGGGTGGTGGGCATTCCTTTCCCTCCTGAGTCTCTCCACAGTTGGTGACTCCTGTCCTGAAGACACACTAGAAAGTTCTTTCAGCTTTGGCAAGCAAGCAATCATATTGATTCCAGAAAGTGTTCTGATGGGCTTTTCGGGTTCAGCCTTGGGCCTCTCCATTCTCCTTATCCTCTGCATGGGGTCCTCACCTTGCCCCCAAAACCTGAGAGCCCAGATGTCAGTGTGCGCCTCAGCCCCCATCTGAGTCCCTCTGTGCCCGGCCTATGCCCACAGCACCTTACCTCAGCCCAGCTCCCGGTCTGGGCCCCTGAGCCCCGGGCGCCCGGTCCGTCTCAGCGAAGCATCACTATGTCCAGCAGCTCCAAGGGAGCGAGAACAGGGCCAACAGGCAGCATCCACCCTCACCCCGTGGGTCAGCATCCAGGGCTGCCAAGACGACGCGCCACGGACGGGGTGGCCCAGGACGACAGAGGCGGGTTCTCACCCAGTGCTGGAGGTGTTGGCAGGCAGCTTGCTCCTGTAGCTCTGAGGGACGGTCTGGTCCTCGCTTATGGCTCCCGGTTGTGCCGACAGTCCTTGGCACTCCTTGCCTTGTGGCTGCCTCACCCCCGTCTCTGCCTCCATCCTGACATGGATTTCTTCTCTCTGTCTCTGTCTCTGTCCTTATAATGACAGCCAGTCATTGGACGAGGGGCTGCCCTAGTCCGCAATGACCTGGTTTGAACTAGTGACATCTGCAAAGACCCTATTTCTGAATACAGTCATTCAGAGTTTCCAGGTGGACAGGACTTAGGGGAGAGAGCACTGGCAAACCCAGTCCATCCTGCAAAACTCATTGTTTTCCCTCCATCCTGTGGGTGTTGGCCATGCTGGAGTTCAGGGGGCACTCTCTAGGCCTTAGAACTTTCTGGGTAAAGAGCGCGTTGCCTCCGCATGAAATTCCAACGTGAAACCAGAGCTGCCCTCTGACTGCCTTATGCTCTGCTCCTTCCTCCTCAGGCCTTACTGAAAATGGACTGCCAGGGCCTGGTGGTCAGGCTCATCCAGGACTTCGTGCTCCTGACCACGGCCGTCGAGGTGGCGCAGCGCTGGAGGGAGCTAGCCGAGAAGCTCGCCAAGGTGTCCAAGCAGCAGATGGATGCGTACGAGTCTCCCCACCGGGACAGGAACGGGGTCGTGGACAGCGAGGTGAGCCTGGGCTCTGAAATTCCGTCACAGCGCTGTCTACTTGAGAGCATGTGGGTGGGGATGAGTGAGTTGACGCGAGAAAGTGTGCGCCCGGCACACAGTAGGCTCTCCCTGAGTGGGGCAAGTCTCCCCCTTCCCGGGACTGTTGGCTGCGCGTCCCAAACTTCAGTGACCTTCCATCAGACGGAGCAGCGCATCAACGGAGCCCTTTGTGGCCACTTCCGCTTGGCCTCTGGCCAGGTCTGTGTTGGCTAAATACCTGGTATGTCGTGGAACTTCGGCCAGAGCCGGTTGGGTTCCTGCTAAAAGGTTCTTTGTAGTCTCACTGGTTGGCGGAGGTTGCTTTAAGCTTCCAGAAAGCTGGTTCAGGCCTGGGAGACCTAGGAAGGAGGAAATCCCAGAATAAGGGTGTCCTTTATTAATGCAGCCAATTTCTAAAGAAATGGCCCACCTAGAAAGTGCTGCAGGGGTTGTAGGGGTTGTAAGGAGAGCAGTCCTTCCTGTTTGCTCAGGCACCCTTTGCTACGTACCTGCTCTTGCACAAAACACCTTCTTGCCTCAGAAATGTGCTGGCTCTGGACGGAGTCCGTTCCACCGGTTTCTCTGGGTTTGTCTCTCTCTCCGCTGAGAAGCATAAATAATGAGCAAAGGGACTGCAGTTAATAGGCTCAAATAATAGGATCAAATCTCTTACTGTCCCTAATCTTCTCTCCCCCCCCCCTTTTATTTTGGGTGACTCCACCATGCAGGCCATGTGGAAACCCGCCTATGACTTTTTATTAACCTGGAGCCACCAGCTCGGGGACAGCTACCGAGATGTCATCCAGGAGCTACACATAGGCCTGGACAAGATGAAAAACCCCATCACCAAGCGCTGGAAACACCTCACGGGGACCCTGATCCTGGTGAACTCCCTGGACATTCTGAGAGCTGCCGCCTTCAGTCCCATGGACCACGACGACTTCGTGATTTGAGCGGGTGCCCTGGCAGCCGCCACTGCTCCGGGCCACGCGCCCTCCGTCGGTCCCGGGTGCCCGCGCCGCCACGTGGAGCTAGGGTGGGAGGAAGGGCCGCTGCTCACACGCGCCTGGGGTCCTTCGAGGGCCGGACCCACACCCGAGGACCAAGCACACACAATGCTCCACCACCCCCCTCCATCTCAGTGGGGGGGCCTGAAGGGGATTTCTACCACAGGTCGTTGCCAATCAAATAGCTTTCTATTTGTTAGGTATAAATTTAAATTTAAAATCACTTTTTTTAAAGTTTGGGGGGGCAGGCATATGAGAAAGGTGGTATCTCATTTTTTTTTAATGGACCATAAAGGTTAAAAACACACAAAAAAAACCCACACCTTAATAGGGGAGGATGCTGTTGAGGTTTTTATGTTCTAAGAGACCTTTTTAAATTATGTTACAGATGTATATATGTATTTAAAGGTCACTGGGGCATTTGCGATTCCCAGCCACACTTTGCATTTCAACGCTTAGCGCGCAGAGAGACGCTTGTTCAAGTGTTGAACCTCTTTTGCTCTCTGCTTCTGAAAAGGGTAAATCAAATAGGAATGTGGTTCTTCGGTAGATGAGTCCAGCTCTTGCCAATCCTTTCTGAGAGCGTCCCAGCTCCTGCTGTCCCCTCTCGACTTCATTCTCTTCTGTACCTTTGCCTCGTGTTACAGCGAATGATCAGCGACAGCACATGCGGACCGTCTTCGAGCTTTAGTGGACCAAGTCAACTCCTACGTGAGCAAGCAGGTACCCTAGAGATGAAAAGGCAGCCGGGAGCTGGCGTTTTTCATGGCCCCCACCTGTGTGCAGTCGGTCATTCCAGAGAACAGTGCCATTTGCCATGTGGTGGTTCCTGCAGCCACTAGCCACCGCTGTCCTGTTTCTCCCCGGGGGCGGGGGAGAGGTGCCCTGTGCTACCGTGTGCGCAGAGGTGCCTGTTGCGACTGGCCAACTCCTGCTTCATTCCATATGAAATCAACCCCTCTCCGTGGTAGGCCCCCATGGCCTAGGAAATAGCACAGGGGACACCGTCTTTTTTGTGTACAATAGAAAGATTATGTAAGCAGGATGAACATTTTCCAAAAATGAAGATGTTTCCCACCTAAAGTCAGGGACTTGGCAGAGCATTGCGTTGATGACCTTACAGTTGTAGATCGGTGTGGCATTGTGTGGGCACACAGTGCTGGGCTCCAGGATCGCACTGCGGCGGTGGCAGCTTGGGAGGGAGGAAGGGGCAGGGTGGGAGAATTGTCTGGCAAGTCAAGAGAGTTGATCCCCGGGAATGTGCCAGGACACGCAGCGTGCTTGTACGAAATGATGTGGGGATTCCTGGACCGCGTTCTCTAAATCTGCTGTCTTGAAACATGTTATGTTAATTACCTAGCGTAATCAGTGGATGATCCCTATTGGGCTGAAACATTCTTATGTATCTATTGATTCAGATCTTGAAGACCAACTGGCTAGAAAAAAAAAAAAAAACAAAACCCACACAGGAAAACACTATGTTTCTTATGCTGCAAGAACCAGGACACACAGTTCCCCAATCATCCCACGAAGTAACCTTAAATTCCGCTTCTCATTTCCACCTTCATTCTTTCCGGAGATCATCTCTCGCCTTCTCCCCAAAGAAGAAGCAAAACCAGTTGCACCTTAAACCGTGGATATTTTTCCTCAGGGGCTTTAAATAGTTTCCTATGCAACATGTCTTGTAGCACAAATTAAATTCTACAAAAGTTGCAGTAAATTTTATTTGGATATTTTAACCTATTAAGTGTGTGTGTGTGTTTTTCTGTACCCAACCAAACATTAAATAAAACAATAAAACCTAGTGAAAGCATCTGTGAATAATGGCTCCCTCCCCCAAGAGCCACCTCTAGATGACAGTGTGACCGTTGGTTTAGCAGATAACTTTTATATTTTTACTGAATGTTCTGTAGTCTGGTCCAAGAAGCTCGGTTAAAATCTCCAGTTCTCAGGGCGCCTGGGTGACTCAGTCGGTTAGGCATCTACTCTTGATTTTAGCTCAGGTCTTAATCTCACAGTTGTGAGTTCAGGCTCGACGCTGGGCTCCACCCCGGGCATGGAATCTACTTAAAATTAAAAAAAAAAAGGAAAAAACTCTCCAGTTTTTTATCGATGTTAATTCTGATATTCAAAATAATAGTCATTTGCATATAAAATTATGGTGTTTGCAGGTGTTTTTTGAGGACCAAATATTCAGGAAAAGGATTTGGCTGGAAAAAAAAAAACAAACCAATTTCCCAAGAAGACGACAATTTTGTCCATAATAAATTCCTGCCTTGGTCCTCACTTGACCATCATACAGTCATGTCACATGGGGCAGGTGCCACATTGTCATGATCACCAAGGCGCCACCCCCTGTATCACCTGGTACAGCAGCCAAGCCCAGGCTTGGTCCTGGGACCTTCCCCACAGTGATCACCAGATCCCAGGACCTTGTAGGTTCCCAACCATTCCTATTGCCACAACAGGACTACAACCTTTGCCTTCTCTCCCTTTGCTCTCCTTACTCCTCTCAACACCCTAGCCCCCACCTCGGCCACCTGGCCCCTCTTCCCTCCCCCCCTCAGGCCACCTGGCCACTCTCCCCTCTTGCTTCCCACTTTACGGTCTGCTCTGGGCTCACGCTCACCCTTGGCTGTGCATCCCACACACCATCCGCTGCAGAGCTCCTGGATCATCCCCCACACTCATACCTCCCTGCCTTTGAGCTGCTTCCCCACACTGGAACACCTCTCCTTTCTTCTCCATCAGCCCACTGAGCTCCTTGAGGTCATCGAGGGTCTGAACTCATTGCTGAATCCCCAGAGCCTGGTGCCACGAATGTATTGCGGGAAGGAATTGACCATGACTGATAGAAACGCATCCCTGAATGCAGATAGCTTGGCTATTGGAGGGGTTAGAACGGGCTTTGTACTGGGTTTACAACCAATATAAAACCTATTCAGCCAGTGATGAGGGCATCAGACCCAGCTTAGTTTTCGAAGCGTTCAAAGGGGAGAACATGGTAGATGGAACTCAAGTATACACCAAAAGCAATTAACTTCCCTAAAATAGTTCATTTCTGGGCATGAGGGAAATACTGTCAGTTTGGTCCATGATTTATGTTGTAATAAAATTCAGTTTTATGTAAAATAGATTGAAATGGCATCATCTGAAACAGTAACCTGAATTGGCGGGGGGGGTGGGGGGAAGACTGCTGCGAAGTGCCCAGGCTTTGCTTCGCACCTGTAGTCTATGAAGGGTTTGCCCCAGTTAATCTTTGTGAGGACCTTGGTTTAAGAGAAGGAAAGCAGCTGGGGGTGGGAGGGACTGCAAACGCCCAGCTGGTACAGTCGCCAGTGCGAGCTCTGTCCACCCCCAGCTGCACCCTCCCTCCACATCAGAAGCAGACAGAAACCCAACAGCACACAGGCCATTGTCTGAGAAGCAGGTGCCCCGGAGCGGGGCGTGCCTCTGACGGGTGGGCCCCAGGGAGGGGGCTGGGGGACCAGCCAGCCGGGTTGTCCCTCCACCCCTCACAGGCCTCTGCTGGAATGTGTGTGCACAGTAGTTAAACCTTATGATTAGGGGTCCATTTCCCTAAAACCTCAAGTATTTAAAATATTTGCACTTAGCCCAAATTTTTCTTTTTTAAAAAATTTCGGCTTGATTGAGGTGTACTTGACCTAGAAACAAACGTCTTCCACCTTTAAGACACTGGCATTTTTTTTAAAAGATTTTATTTATTTATTTGACAGAGAGAGACAGGGCAAGAGAGGGAACACAAGCAGGGGGAGTGGGAGAGGGAGAAGCAGGCTTCCCGCCGAGCAGGGAGCCCGATGTGGGACTTGATCTCAGGATCCTGGGATCAGGACCTGAGCTGTTATGTGTTTTTTGCCACATTTTTTTAAGTGAAGAAAGAGACCCTGTTGCTGGCAAGCCCAGCGTCCTGTTATGGAAACCAGGGAGCGGATCGGGGCGGGTATGATGCAGCTTAAACCCCTTCTGTGTCATGGACCCCTTTGGCAGTTGAATAAAGCTGTAGAGTCCTTAAAATTAAGTAGATGCATAAAATAAGAAAACCAGGGGCTCACAAATGAAAGCAATTATATTTACATACAGTTAGCAAAAGGTTTTTTAAATTGTGAGGAGATATATATGCTATTTTAAAGCAATTATATTTACATACAGTTAGCAAAAGGTTTTTTAAATTGTTGTGAGGATATATATGCCATTTTATGCACTAGATAACAACCTAGTAGCAGGTCTCATCCACCATAAACTCACAGAATAGTGATGAGCATTGAGGGTATCTGAGATTGAGAAATCATTGACAAAATCACAGGGATTTCTAATACAGGTCCCTTGCCTCCACGCATGCCCGGAGGAGATGCTAATGTTCAGTTAGAGGTTAATGAAAATGGAGATGTAATCTTTTTTCCTTATTTAAAAAACAAGGAGCTCATCCTAAGGAAACTGAAATCAGATTTGCTTTGCCAGTTGCTTTGAAGGGTTTGCATGATGTTTTCTGCTCCAACTTAGCCAAAACAGTGTTTTTAAAGCTTTGCTTCTCTGAGCCAATATACTACCTAATGAGGGAGAAGGGGATCGGAGAAATGCACCGGTCATGTCTGAGACTTTTTAAATATCTGAAGTCATTTTTCTTAATTTCCCAATTCAGTTGGTTTGCTTTTTAGAAGAATATCTGTATACTCATGTCCTACGTATGCAGTGCAACTCTCTTTGTAATCTTCACTCCAGGGGGGTCAGCAAGAGACGGCCAGAACAGAGTGTGAATGCGGCATAAGCCTCGTGAGATGTGGGCAGCTTGGAGGGAGGGCCGACCAGAGGGCTGGTCATCTGGTGTGTGCCTGGAAGCCAGGCTTGGGCACCCAGAGCATCAAGGGAGAGAAGAGCCAGCTCCTGGCCCTCCGGGATCTGTATTCCAATAAGGAAGATGCAGACCTTTGAAATTGAAGGAAGATGGAAGCATTCTCATCAGAGCAGACCAAGAGAGGATTTGAGAAGCCACAGTGCTTCTCCCCTCCCTCCTCCCCACACACCCACTCCCATTATATTGATCATTAAGGCTTCTGATTCAACCCCTTCCATTTCTCTCAGGGGGTTTCTCCTTTAATCCTGGCCACCGCCATGTCTCCCCCGGACCCGCAACCCCATGCCCGTCCCCTCAAATCATCCTCCACATGGCCACCTAGATGGTCCTTCTAAAATAGAAATCCATGCCCCTTTCTGCTTAAAGCCCACCTTCAGTAGCCCCAGTGTTTAAAGCAGATGAACGGGGGTTACCCCCACTCCCGCCCATGGGTCATATTTGGCCCTGACGAAGCTTCCACCTGTCCACTCAAAATGAGAAAAATAAGCACAGTGGACTGAGGATTTCCATTCAGCCAAATTTATGCAAATCAAATCATCGCTCCTGGTCCTGAGATTAAGCCCTCCATTCCTTTTTGGTTAAAATGTCCTTTATTTTGGTAACTGATAATGATAGTAAATTGTAGGAGTTGTGGTTCTGATGCCTTTCTTGGCAAAGTGAAATGTTGGCTGATGACAAATATCCATGCATTTTTTAAGGCTTGAAGTTTTGGACAAATAAGGGAGAAACAACATGAGACTGTTTATTTCCTCGGCCCTTTGCCCTTGTGGCTGTTTTTCTTCGACCACCCTCCTCACTGTGGT